GACTTCTCTATATTCTGGTATCCTGACTCCTGGCTTTCCTCATCGCTGTGTCCCTTTCTGTATTCCCTGACCTCGGCTAGTATTTTTGACTATTCTTTGTACGTTAAATCCGGCCATTCTAAGGACCGGTAATACGTTACTTATTTGTCATCCGTGCTGTACAGTTCTACGTGCTGGATCAAACAGTAATCCTGACAGGAGGTCAATCCCAACGAGAGATAAAAGCCATCGTACCCAGTGGGCCAAAGTGGTAACCGAGACTGGCACATGTGGCTTAACATAGGACACTTATAATTGTCTTGATGAGGTAATATTAGGGTGGTCGTAGCTGTACATAGGCATGCAGTGTCTGGACCACGCAAAGTTGGGTTCCAATGGAAAAAATGGGTAAAAAAATGACGTTGAGTCCGTCTAGTACATCGAGACACTCGATGAGTGACAACTTCCTGAGAAAACCAGAAGACGTCCATGTGGAATGCTCGAATGTCCGAAATTCAACATAAAGATACCAGACATAAAAAGGAGGATAAACTTCACTGTCGGTTGTCTAAAGACAATTGCTGTTAGAAAGTCACTCCTTTATGAAACAAAGAACTTGGGCCACATCCCAAAGGGAGGAATATTCGTTGCAGGGGTCTACGTAACAGAATGTCCTGAAGTGGTGTACAAACCAAGGGAATCCAACCTATCAGTTTCCCTTGTAATGGAACGTGAGGCGCTGAAATCGCAGAACGCACTGTATTGATGGACCGGTAGTACTTACCTTCTGAGAACAGGCACACGAGAAAGTTCAATATGGAGGATACAGAGGCCGTAAAAGGATCGAGTTTCCGTCCCATACACCAATTGACCCATGAATTCCAAGCTGAGAGGTAACACTTCCTCATTCCAGGGGCCCATGAGTCCCAGAGTATACCTCTAGCCGTTGGCGAAAAGTCATCAGTGCATCAAACACTCCTGAAAGACTCCAGGCCACTAAAGTGAGATGTCCTTCTTGTAGCATGTGATGAGGATTCCCCATGGAATCCGTGAGGATCATCAGATTGTCTGTTAATAGCGGAGGGTCCTGGTATGACAGTGCGAGGAGATCTGGGAATCAAGGTTGACTCTGCTACGAGGTCGTCACCAGGGGTATTGCCACTTCCAGCATTCTGATGTGGTGAACCACTCTCGCGATCATTGCAAAGGGTGAAAATGTGTAAGCCCCTTCAGTTGGCCATGCCTGCGGGAATGCTTCTACTGTTGCACCCTCCGGGTTTGGTAATCAGCTATAGAAAATCGATAGTTGGCGGTTGGTGCGAGATGGAAAAGTCAATAGTGCCAAAGATGGCTCTGCCATTTTACGTCTGCATACCGTCAAGCCACCATAGAAGTTCTTGTTGGATTTCTTACGTCATGGGTAGCGGTTGGTCTAAGTGGGGTTTTTCCTGAGGAAATGAGCTGTTAGGCGTTACATGGCCCGAGAGTGCCAGGGACCTGGGAAGATCACCTGGATTGAGGAGGATAGTAGTCCCACAAAATGGTGGTATGTAAAAATTTTAACCAGGAAAGAGACATTCAGATATTTTCTGGTATCCAAGTGCATCCTATTCATGTAACTTTTACCCAATTTAATGGTATTCATCTTATCTACCTCAAAGGGCTGTCAACCCTGCTGAGGAATTGAACCTGTGACCCCCAAGGGTTAAACAAATTCTTCTGACTAAGCATTAGCCTTTCATGAAAGGCTCACTGAATAATTTTCCTCATGCATGTGGACCAAATTCCTTAGCTCCGTGGTCTATCAATTTGCCATCAAGTCATAATAAGGCTGCCCGGCATCTCTCTGAAGAGAGGGCCACATTTGTGTTGCCCAGTAAGAAAAACATCTCTGGGTCCTCTAATGAATATCGTGCGCCCCGTCGCGCGTGTTGTCTGCTGAAAGGAGTCAGCCTGGGTGTATGCCTCATCTGTTAGGGTCAGAACCTGGGTGAGCGGCCTGACAGCATCGAGGAGCTTATCCTGGGCTCACTTAAACCCTTTCTCAACTGCTTTCCTTGGGTCTCTATCCCCTCCTGCCATGAAAGCCAGCATCATCTGGTCAAATTCTGTGGTATAGGCGACCTAAACCAGAGTGAAGGTTTGGGGCACTCTGATCTCAGCCGCTTGCAAACCTCCTTATCTAGTGCCTTCCGTAACCAGAAGTGCATAATTTAAGGTTGTGTCCAATCTCCCGAGCGTGGGTGGCGAATGTGTCTAGGGTCGCACAGCGTTGACCCGTGGTGTGAAAAAAGAGCTCACCATCCAGCTGCACCAGAACTCTTCCTCCACATCACTTACATGCTGGGGCTCACCCAGAAAGGTCTCCTTCACAAAGGAGTTGGTAGTTGGGACCCCAAGTCCCGTCATCAGAATGGGAATCTTCTGCTTGCCACTCACCAAGAAATGTGATCGTGGGACCTCTTTAGGGGAGCCTTAGCAGGTTTTGATTTTTGACCCTTGCCTTTCCAGTGGCATTTAGCAGTGCGGCCTTGCTCCTTGGCAGAAGAGTCAGACTCCTCCACGACGTCTCTCTGTTGGGAGCATTTAGCAGGCTCTTTGTGTCTTGAGTGGCTGAACGCCTTGGCTGAGACCATCTCCACAGAAGCAGCAACTTCTGTGTTGATTACTGCCTGGAGGTCTGAGGGCATCTGAGTCTTCCATTATTAACACCCATTATACTTGGGGCTCACCCAATAGATTTGTGAGTAAATAGGCAAATTGGTGCACAGGCACTCTCCCATACAGTAATGTATGTAGAGGCAACGCTGGGGCTTACCCAGGTAAAAGGAGACTGCAAGCGTGTGGCAGTGGGAGAGTGCCTGTGGAGTGGTGAGCATAGCCACAAGGAGAACATTTTATGAGAGGGACTAACCCTCTAATAAAATGTTATGAGAGGAGCTCACCCTCCAATAATGAAATCACTACCATGTACTGACATAAACTGCAATATAAACAAAAACAAAAAAACTGACAAGAAGCAGTATAAATATCAGCATTGAGCTGAGTTTATGAGAGAGGCTCACCCTCTAATAATGAGATCAGTATTTTGTACTGGCATAAACTGTAAGAGAAACAAAAAACTGACAGGAAATAAAAGGGATAAAGTAGATACACAGACATCCCAAGTCTATACCATAAAAAAAAAACTGCATCACCACTATCAATTAAACCCCAAATAAATACATGTACAGTAAAAAAAAAAGAAATCAATCAATCAAGTAAATAAGTAACATTGATTAAATATATCAAGACAAGCAAACAAAGTGTAGACTCACAATATTCTTACCTGATGTGATGGAGCAGCAAAGAAAGAAGTTACTCTGTGGAAGGCGTTTCTTATACTCTCTGCCTGTCTCTGAATGGTTCCTTTTTTTTCTCTAAATGTCTTTGCTACTATGGAGTAGTAAAGGAAGAATGTGCAAAATATGAAGCCTCCTATCATGTGATAAAATTATGTGCAACCTCAGCTACTTTTGGTCTGCGTGTGAGACTGGACAGGAAATGTAAGGGGCCAGGTCCCATCTGCTCTCTAACAGTCTCTAACACACAGGGAAATCTTGCAGGAGAAGCAGAGACAGGAGTGAATGATGTACACTGCCTAAAAGCTCCTTCAGCTGTACTACTAATCAGAGGAGGCTGAGTGCTTTCCAAATAACCCTCTATCCACATGCCAGACCTGTAAATACCCATTTTTATCCTAATCCAAAGTCTAACACATCCCTAAACACTTATTACAAAATGTAGACACTCAATGCCTTTGCTGCCGAAACCTGAAAAAAACCTCTGTCTTAATCCTAGGTTTAATTCATCTTAAACACTTAACACCCCCTGTGCCCTAATACTATATTTAATTTAACTGTAACCCTAAACAACTGACCTCTTATAACATCCTTCCCAAGCTTTAAATATGTAACACTAAAGTCCTTACTTAAACTAACTATACAGTAAATTCCACTCTAACCTTAATGTCCCCTTTACCTTAAACACTGCTACCATTATGTTTAAGACTGCATGCCTTTACACACATACTCTGATTATACTCACAGATTCAAACACACATTACAAGCACAAATTATACACACACACCTCTAGTCAGGGGGTTCTAGTTAGGGCTAGGTTAGTCTAAGCACAAGATAACGCAAGGGTTAGAGATACAATTAACTCAAAGACAGGGGCTGGGGTTAGGGATCAATGTAATGCTATAGTTGAGGCTAGGATAAGGTTTGGAAATAGGGCAACTATTTGGGTAGATGTAGTGCTGCACCTGAGATTGGTGGATGGTTAGCACATGTTATATATGGAACAGGATTTAAATAATATTCCAGCATCTGCTGTCCAAGAGTGTAACAACTCCTATACTAAGGCATTATTTAAAATTACATCACTGTGTGTATGAGATTTGGAAGCATCATCTGACAGTAAAAAATATATATTATTTACCCCTAATAAATTCTCTTTATTTTTTTATTTATTTTTTTACCACAGCATGTATTACTTTTATTTGTAATGTTTACAAGGTTTATCTCCAGTAATTTTTTTTATAATCCCTAAAAACATAATGCAATGGAACGCGTCACTACTTAAGTGTGGACTTGTATATACACGTGACCAGTTACTTCAGTTGCCAAACAGCATATTTATACGGATAGTTGGACAGTTATCGCCTGGAAATTCATTGAAAACAAAACTATCAAGACCTTTAATCTTTAGAAAATTTTTTTTTTAATTTAGTAGATTGACAGACGTTGGTACAGGCACACAGTAAGGAATGCACAAAGGTATTCCAAAATTACATAATACATTGTGTGAAAGTATGTTTTATGACAGCAGTAAACAAGTGCGTTATCCCAACTGACTTTCAACGGTATGCAAACATGAGCCTTCAAGCTCATAATCTTCACATCTTCTATTCAGAACACTTTAGTGCTCTCAATCATGATAAAGACATGGCAGTATGAGTTCTTTGCTCAGAAGGCTCTTTAGAACATTCCTCCTCCCATGCCACCACCCATGCCTCCCATTCCACCCATACCTTCCATTCCAGGATCCTTCTCTTCCTTAGGAATTTCTGTCACAACTGCTTCAGCAGTTGTTAAGAGTGATGCCACGCCAGCTGCATCGATTAAAGCGGTACGTACGACCTTTGTGGGGTCAATAATTCCTTTCTCCACCATTTTTACAAATTCAGATTGCATTGCATCATATCCAATTTCTGATGGGCTCTGTAAGATTTTTTTCTACAATCAGTGACCCTTCAACGCCTGCATTATTGGCTATGGTCATTTCAGGGATCTTAAGAGTTCGTCTCACAATTTCAATTCCTATTTTCTGATCATCATTGGCTGGAGAAAGAGAATTCAAAGCGGGAATACATCTAAGTAATGCACATACACCACCAAGAACAATTCCTTCTTCTACAGCTGCTCGTTTTGCATTCAATGTGTCCATTACACAGTCTTTCTTTTCATTTACTTCAACATCACTAGTGCAACCATCCTTGATGACAGCAACACCATCAGAAAGCTTAGCTAGTCTCTCATTAAATTTTTCTTTCACATTTACTGTTTGTGGATTCCAACTGCTCAAGAATTTATTGAAAACGTTTTTCAATCTGTGCTTTGTCACCCTTGCCTTTCAATAGCATAGTATCATCTTTAGTTACAATAACTTCTCCCACTTTATCAAAGTCGTGAACTTGAATGTCTTCGATATTTAACGTTAATCCTTCTTCTCCAAAATCAACTCCACCAGATGCAATGGCCAAATCCTTCAGCTGGTTCTTTCAGTTATCTAAAAAACCTGGAGCTTTCACAGCAACAACTTGAAGACTAACTTTTAACCTGTTTAAAACCAGTGTACTTAAAGCCTCCCCATCAACATCTTCAGCAATTATAACCAAGGGTTTACAATGAGCATTGGCAAGTTCTAGAGCAGGCACAATAGACTGAATACTGGAAATCTTCTTTTCACTGAGCAAGAGATATGCATCTTGAAATTCACATTTCTGGCCTTTAGTAGTATTAATGAAGTACGGTGATATGTATCCTCTGTCAAATTTCATCCCTTCAATTATCTCCAACTCATCATGAACAGTTTTACCATCCTTAACTGTTATTACTCCTTTACGGCCAACTTTTTTCATGGCATCTGAATTTATCTTGCCAATTTCCTGATCACCATTTACAGATATGGTAGCAACCTGAGCAATTTCTTCAGGTGTTGGACCAGGCTTGGATTGTTTCTTCAACTCTGCAATTACTGCATCAGCTGCCAGCATGACACCTCTTCTTATTTCTACTGGATTTGCACCTTTGCTGATCTTTTCAAAACCTTCCTTTGCAATTGATCTTGCAGGGACTGTTGCTGTTGTAGTTCCATCTCCTGCCTCTTCATTTGTATTATTTGCTACATCTTGAACTAGCCTGGCACTAATGTTTTTATATTTGTCTTTTAGATCAATTGCTATTGCTACTGTGACACCATCCTTTGTTACATTTGGGCTTCCCTAGCTTTGTTCAATGATGACAGTTCTGCCCTTTGGTCCCATGGTAACAGCCACTGCATCTGCCATAAGGCCAACACCTTGCAGCATAAGTACTCTAGCATCCGCCCCAAATTTGACATCTTTAGCATACCCACGGGCTAGATAATGTGCTAATGCCCAAGACACCGGCCTCACTTGGTGCAAAATTGTTGGCAAACGAAGCATTTCATATAGCTATATAGTAAATTAAATGGACAGGCAGACACAGAGAGGATACTGTCAAACACGTGTCTAATGCAGACTGACCTAAGAAATTCTCTTTAGTGTATGTATTTTTTAAATATATTATTTTTAGCTTAGTTTTATTTATTTTTAATTATGGTTAGGTCTAATGATAAAAATTGAGACAATAAAGAGAAAATTTAGGAAAATTATGCTGCAGTATCAAAGTAAGTACCATATAAATGTTTTGCAAAAATCATTAGCTTGACTTCTGTGCAGCTAGTTTACATGCCACCTTGGCTCCAATAATGGCATAATTAGTGCAAATCCAAAATGTAAGAACAGAACCAGTGCAACAAATATATTTTTAGATGAACATGAATTCTGTGGTTTTAATGAAGGATAAACAAAACACAAACATTTCAGGTCACAGACCTTTTAACCCCTTAAGGACCAAACTTCTGGAATAAAAGGGAATCATAACATGTCACACATGTCATGTGTCCTTAAGGGGTTAAAAAAGTGAAATGCCAAAACACAAGCACTTACCCAAATATATAAGAAGTGATAAGAATCCTCTCATTCTCCAACCAAAACAGCAAATAGACATATGGCAAACAAACACAGTCAGACATTAAGGCTTGGAGCCCACGAAAACCCAAAAATCCATTAGGAAGTTGTTCAGATAGCATTGACCACGGTAATATATCCTAAGCCCTTTGTAGAAATTTTTTTAAAAAGAAAAATAAATTAGCTAAAAAAACAAAACAGAACATTTATGACATACTTCATTTTCTTTTCCTGACTATGTGAAATGGCAGCATCACTTATGAGTGGCTCCTCCCTAGCTTGAGAAATTAATGATTAATTAAAAAATTAATGCCTTCCTCCAATCCTCTGATACACTACCTGAAACAAAAGAATCTTGAAAAATTAAATATAGAGGTTCACTTATTTTACCACTTAGCTCCTTAAGTACTCATGGGTGAATACCGTCAGGCCCTGGAGCTTTATTTACATTAATTTTCTTTAACAGCTGTAGCACCTTGTCTCGAGTCATCCAATCACAAGTTATCTGCAAGTTTCTTGCAGCAATCATTTGTATATCTATTGCCATAGGATCCTTATTAATATATACTGAAGAAAAATATATATTTAAAATTTCTGACCTGTCCTGGTCATTAGCTAATAGACCCATCTCTGTTTCCAGTGTACCTATACTTTCATTTTTTGTTTTTTTAGAATTGATGTACTTGAAAAAATTGTGGGGGTTGGTTTGCATTCTTTGGCTATCAATTTCTCATTTTCTAGTTTAGCCACTTTAATTGCCTTTTTGCAAGCATTTTTTACTTCCTTATATCTTATATAGGATGCCTCTTATTTGTCCGATTTAAATGCTTTAAATGCCCTTTTCTTATTTTCAATCTTGTTATACTTCTCTACTAAGCCACATTGGTTTCAATTAGTTTCTTTCAGATTTTTTACCCAATGGTACGTACATACTGAGAAATGTACCTTTTTAATATTTGTTTGAATAGTTTCCTTTTATCCTTAGTGTTTTTTTCACTAAGGAGTTTATGCCAGTCGATATGTTGTAGAGTTGCCCTAATCCTATTGAAACTGGCTTTTTTTTAAATTATACGTTTTAGTATACCCCACATGCTTTTGCTTTTTTGAGTTTATTTAAAAAATTACCATATTGTGATCACTATTTCCCAAATGCTCCCCTACTTGAATGTTAGTCAAAAGATCAACACTGTTTGTTATAACGAGATCAAGACAAGCATCCTTTCTACTTCTGCTTGTACCAGTTGTGACATAAAGGTGTAATTTAACACATTCAAAAACCTGATTCCGCTTGCTGAAAAAGTAGTCACTCTATTCCAAATGTCCTGGTAATTCAAATCTCCAATAATTAATGTGTTAACCCGATTTTCAGATTTTCCAATTTGCTCTAAAAGCTGTTCTATCTCATTAATATTTACATTAGGTGGTTTATAACATATCCCAAACAATAATTGATTTCCCTTCACTTTCCCCAAGCAGATATCTACCCATAAAGCTTTCACACTTTCCTCGTCACACTCCACATGCCTAAGATTTGACTTTAACTCATGGTTGACATACAAACATACCCCACCACCCTTCTTGTTTTTCCTATCCTTCTAAATAACGTGTACCCATTTAAGTTAACTGCCCAGTCATGTGTCTCATCCCACCATGTTTCCGTTATGCCTATTATATCATATTGTTTAGTGTATGCTCTTGCCTCCTTGCATTAGTAAGCATACATTTAATATTATCATGAGTCATTTGTACTTTTTGTGAATTTTCATCAATATTACATACCTCCTCTCTTCTGAGCATTCCCCTCCCCTTATCTCCACCACACTTACCCTGAGCTATCCTATCTCCATTTTCTAGATTGCTTTGACCCTCACCACTACTACTAGTTTAAAATCTCCTCCAACCTTCTAGCCATCCTATCCCCCAGCACAGCAGACCCTCTTCTGTTTAGGTGCAATCCATCACGACTGTATCCAAGTGCAAAATTGGCCCAGTGCTCTAAAAGCCCCAAACCCTCTTTCCTGCACCAAGACTTCAGCCACACATTGACTTCTCTAATCTTCCTTTCTGCTGCAACGCGCGGCACAGGTAATATTTCTGAAAATATTACCTTGGAAGTTATTTTCTTTAGCTTTCTTCCTAGTTCACTGAACTCATTCTTTAGGACCTTCCAATTTCCTACCAATATGAACCATGACAACTGGGTCATCCTCAGCCCCTCCCAATAATCCCTCCACTCTGTTGGCAACATGCCAGACCCGAGCACCCGGGAGACAGCAAACTGTCCGGTTGAGACGACCAGAGTGGCAGATTACCCTATCTACTCTCTTAATAACAGTGGTAGAGTCCCCTACCACCACAACTTGTCTAGCCTTCCTTACCTTCCCAATATATTTTCTGTTTTCCTGGCTAAACATGGCAGCATCACTTATGGGTACTACACAAGATACACTGAAAGAAGAGAAAGGAAACAGTACTTGCACGCAAGAACTCCAGAATATTCTACATAGCTGCATTAGCCATCCTGGAATCAGCCGCAATGCTAAAACCGGAGAGGAAAAACCCTCTCAGCAATGACAGAGAGTTTCCATGAGGAAAATAAATGCATTTTGCCTAAAAAAAGATGACAGGCCTTAGAAAGAGTCTGAAAACTACCTCCTGAACTGGAAATAGTATTGGCAATAGGCAAATCAAGGCTGGTGTACTGCCATACTGCCCTGACAGATGAGGGGATGAACAGGCCCAATACTTCCAGCTGCTATACAAGGTAACCTTAACTTTCCCATGTTGCAGTTTCTTATAAAAGAAACCAGTCACCTCTTGCTTCCTTCAGGGGTAGAGAGGCTGAGATATTCATGGGAGAACTAAGCAACCATACTGATTCCATACTGATTCCACGACCATTCAGTGGTGCCCCCAGCATTTTGAGAAGAGGGAAAAAAGAAAGAAAGGGAGCAGGGGTTGGGATAGTAGAAGAGGTGGCACAGAGACAGATGCAATAATGGATAGGAAGCAAAAGGCTTTAAGAATAAAAAAAAAGTGGAGTGAGCAGTAGTGTATTAAGCTGCAGTGTGATCTTTGATTCTTACTTGCCATTTCAAGCAATGGGGAAATGTATTGAATCCAGGAATCTCAGGTAGCCAAATATTTATCTATGGTCAGTGAGACTCCAGCAACCATAGCCTCCATTGACTTACTCTACCTTTTGCAACCATTGTAGAATGTAAGGGGGTTTGGTTTGACGACAGAGGAGCAGGATCCCACTGCTCACAGCTGCTAACAAGTGCTTCATGAGGGATTTTTTGTATGTGCATAGGAGAAGTGTAGTGTTTTGTAGCAGAATCAAACACCCATCCAGAATCCATGACAAGTGGGTACCAGATACTTTAAAGAGTGAAGTTTTCTGGCTGAGACTAGTTTTGTTAAAGTGATTGGATCTCCCAACCCCAGCCAATTTAGCTTTTTAGTAAAGGTGCCATCAGTGTCAGAATAGAGAATAGGATGCATCAAATTTGTACACTGTGCCATACAAGCAGGTAGCGCCTATGAAAGGATGGAATTTAATGAACAGAAATATCCCATCGTTCCAGCCAGGCCATTCCAGCCAGGCCTTCCTTTTCCAGAGAGCACCATGGTTTTGCTTCTGAGCCACTCCAGGCGATGAAACACAAGAGGTGTAATTCCTGGTAATACTTAAGGGATGAGGGCGGATAAGGTTGCCTCTAGCTTTGTTAAGATGCAGTTGGGCTGATATAAGGTGAGGGAATCATCCATTCCAAATAAATTTTAGAATTACAGACTGAACAGTGGTAAAGAAATATCTGGATATATGGACCCTCAATACACCCACCCAACTAGTCAGTTCAGTGGTCCAAGGTGAGGAATTACCCAGGGGGACTTCCACTGGGTCCCATGGCTGCCGAAAAGGTAAACTTAAATACAGGAAAGATAAAACCCAATCCAGTCACCTCTGCTGTGAGTCAGGAAATGGGTTACAGCTGTTA